CCCCTTGAGAGTGGTTGGGAAATATTTGCACCAAGTCGCCTCGGATCTGGGGCAAAGATGCATATGAGTCTCATACGAGGCCACGTGATCCTTCGGATCCGTGGTCCCGTCATATGTGATGTGCGACGGTATTTTAACCGTGGGTACGCGCTCTTCCAGTATCCATTGCTCGAATGGTGAACTGGCGGGTAGCATAACGGCCTTGCCCTTGTTCCTGGCCGAAGGGACCGCGCTCCGCCCTCTTAGAGAGGTAGGAGTGGTTTTCGTCCCTGGCTGGGAAGTCTGGGCCTCGGCTGCAGGGAACGAGAGGCGACTGTGCACGCTCGGTTCCTTGCCGCCGAGTCGGTCAAGGACGCTTCTGCGAACAGTCTCAGGTTCTCGGTGAGTAGATTCTGGCCGAGAAGCTGAGCTGCTGCTCTTATGCGCTTCTGGTCTTGAGGATGAGGATCCTTTTAAAAATTGAGGGTTCTTTTTCCTCTGTTTTTCATTTTTCCAGGAATCCTCCTCCCACTCTTCCAGTTCCCGGAAGGAAGGAAGCTTCCCACCATCATGGTCTAACTTCCTCCGCTGATGCCGGGTATGCGGAGGAGTTCGATCACGAGGTGGTGGCATATTTTGTGCCCTCATCGCCTCCATGAGTACTGCCAGCGCTCTTGCCACCTCTTCCGAGCTGGGCCCCGTCAAAGGGGTCCTCGGCCGAGTGTGGGAATGAGGGCGCGCAGCCGATGGTTGGCTTTGGGACACTGAATGTGTCCTATGATTGGACTCACCCCTGCTAGACCGAGAGTAACTCGGCCTATAATGAGAGTCATGAATTACGGGAGATAGGGAATTCTCCTTGTATGATCCTCCCCCCGAGCCGGCACCCTTGGGAGAGTTCCGGTCCGGCGAGGGTGATGGTGTAGGGGTTTTAGGCTTTTCGCCCGCTCCTTGACGGAGGCTTTTGCTCTTGCGGTTCTTAGCCATTGCTGCTAAGATAATTGCAAGATGATCTTGGTTAGGAATTTGGCTTAAAGATTTTTGAAAGTCTTCCCCACAGACGGCGCCAAATTGTTTCGGGTGAAAACAATGGGACCTTGCCGAAGGTCCGCTGAAACGGAGAAGGCTGGATTCGGTCCAAGTTATGTTGGGCCGAAGGTTTCCTGCACAGTAAACACACGTAAACTAGCCTCGGGGGTGTTGCCGAGGAAGGCCCCTCCGATGCTAAAGTCAGTACAATGTGTAAGAAGAGGACACTATGCAAGAGAGTTTGTTGCTTGAGGCTTTGATGGAATATATCAGAATATATCAATGAACATATGAATGAATGAACATATGAATGAATATCTGAAATGTATCAATATTGATGGCTTTTATACCTCATCATACATGGAGAGGTTGGGCCTTAGCCCAATTGGCTTGCTTTGTGGGCTGACCTTTGACTTTAGCACAATTGGAGAGTTGAACCTTGACCTTGGGCTTTTAATTGGATCATTTAATGCCTAGGCCCAATTGGACTAAATTGGACCCAAACACTCTGTATTTCATTTGAGTAAACTAGTTTACTCATACAGTGCGTTATCATTATCATTTACATTAATTTGTCAAAAGCTCAAAACTAAACTTAATTGGCTCTAGTTAACCTGATCAATATTGAAATTATCTTATGGTCACACCTGATTGAACCTAATTAACCACGATTAAAAAGGTTATCAATGATGATTAGTTCTAATTAATTATAAAACTTATTTTTATAAGGCGAAAATAATAATCTAATATATATTATATAAATAAAGTCGGTATTTTTGGAGAGCATACGGAGCGCCACGTAAGAAATATACTTATTTCGACCAATAAGAAAAAAGATTTGTATTTTATATTTGAATTAAAAAATTATGTCGCCACCTAGATAAAAGTAACGAATTAGATTTGATATATCTAAAAATTTTAATGCCACGTAGATTATAATCCACGAATTAAATTATTTTAATGAAAAAAATAAAGTAAAAATAATATAGGAAAAGATAAATTTATTAATTCAATACTACGAGTATAAGAAATCCAAAAAAACTATACTAAAAAATATTTAAATGATAAACGCTTATAATAAAGTTTGATACCTATCATTATAAGATAAAATTTTGATAGTATTTATGATAATAAATACAAATTGTTCGTTAATTATAATTAAATTAAAATTTATGATACCTACCATTATAAATTGACACATCATACGACACAAACAAAATTTCGTATCAATAAAAAAACCCCATCAAGCGAATTTTGTGTTAATTTTTGGTCATCAATGGCCGAGTAATTTTTAGCTTAGTTTTTAAAATCCTATGTTTAAATTTGTATTTTTAATTATTACTTACCTTGTATTAATTTGGGATACTCAACGATTATATGTTTATGTTTTATTTTTGGTCATCAATGTCCGGGTAATTTTTAAAATCTTATGTTTAAATTTATATTTGTAATTATTGGTTACATTGTATTTATTTAGGATACTTAACGATTATTTGTTTATATAATGGCATACGATTAGATGTTGTATACTTAATATATGGATGGCTTTGGTTATTTTTGGAGATGATGAAAAAATTCTAATGCATAGATTTGAATTTACATCGCAACAATTTTTCATTTATTGGTAAATATATTGATTTATTTTATATAAATATAAAGATTTATTTATATCAATTTCAGTTTGGCTAACATTTCACGGTTCAATTTATCCATTGATGTAGTAGGTTGGTTATGGACGAGGTTGGTGATTCTATCGAAATAAAAGATATGGTAAAACAATGAATAATGATTTAGGATTTAAATTATTAAAAATTTATCATTTCACATTAAAGATTTTATATAACGGAAAAAATATCATATTTACAATTTATTTATATTTAATAAATTCATTATAAATTATAGTAAAAAAAAAAAATTAAACTTTTGTAATTTTGTCTGAAATTATTATTATACAATAAATCAAATAATAAAAAATCTTAGATGAAAAAACCGTGTATTGCAAGGGCTTCCATCTAGTTATATACTAATATGAAGAATTTTCCATGCCTTACAGTAAATCGAAGATGAGATCGCAAATAATTACCTTACCTTTCTGCTTACACACGTACAACATAAAGAAAAATAAATACATACGGCCCAAATGTGGGATTTTCCTGTCTCTCTCAATTAGTGATTGTCCATTTGAGGATTGTATGAAGAGAATGGACAAAACATTGCATGGTGCAGGTTTTTGTTTTCTAGTAATTGTCAAGTACAATTATTTTGGATGATTGTTGTATAATTGAAAGAGTCAATTGAGTCAATACTCTAATTTCATAAAAGTCAAACTAATTCATACTTTTAATTATAAAGAGAATTATTATTCTCAAGCTTCTGATCAAGGTTGTACACATATATGTTCAACGATTTGTTTATTATTTAATAATTAAATTTACATTTTTCATTAAAGTGAGAAATTAAGTATGCTTGCATTTGGAGATGGGGGGTCAAATTTGTGACATCATACCACAAATCCTCGGCTCATATTAGTCGCTAGGTCATAACCTTATTAAGACGAGACCAAATATTAATAATGGTCTTACGAACATTCATTAAATAGTTGTAATTGAAGACAATGATTATGTTACTAACTGGATAGCTTTAGCTCTATAGCTATCCATACTTGTATCATTATGAGACATTATATAAATATTGTAGAGAGTAATAATAAGTAAAGCACCCCCACATCTAATGATCTAAACAATATAATTGAAATGTGAAAGCATTTAACGCTAATTATATGCATAAGATTAAAGACCATAAACTAATTAGCTCGAATGCCACCTTACCAAGTTAAATTTAAGACATATTTATTCCATATGCATTTTCAAGTGGGGAATTATCACAATGCAACAAGTGTAGTCGAGATATTTTTGTTTAGAAGAACATCAACCACACTCCAAATTTGGGACACAATTAATATGGCATTTATGTCAACTTCTCTATCACAACTTTTTTAGGTTAATAGTTAATTAAGTCTGATTTTGTGGATAATAGATTAATTGATAGGATCAATGTAACTTCAAATCACGAAATTATTAATTTTGTAAAAGGATAAACTTTTATATAAACAACGGGACGTACATATTAGAGGTGACTAAACATATATAAATTATAAAACAGATAGTGTATGACTTATTGATCATAACCTCGTCTTTGAATTTTCAAAGCATCCAAGTACAAGATAAGAGGGAGATCCCAATTCTACACAATTGGACAAACATGTTGTCTAAGGACTGATGACTACATGAGTGCTAAGACTGCTAACAAATCAGAATTTTCCTTTTGTTTTTCTTTTTTGCAAAAACAAGAAAATAAAATGGAATTTGTCAAATTAAAGCCTAAGAATTCCATGTATTGGTGTATAATTAATATTCCAAATATGAAGCTTTCTGATCTTTTCCTCTTTTCCTTTCTCATACCAGGCCCCAACTTAAGCTGTATTTGAGACATAAATTCAGATGAGAAGAAGCCTTATTCTCTTCTCTTCCTTGGAATTTCTCACATTTTTCAGGCATCAAAAATTCAAAAGACCCTCAAAAAGTACTCTCACTTGAGATGTTGTTTCCTTATCATTCTATGTATTAGACTTTGATCATTCAAGCTCAAATTCCTTTTAATATTTTAATGATTTTACCCAAACATAAAGTGATAATTCCCTTTAACATATAAAAACACCCGAGGTAATTGTAGTCATTTGGTTTAACATAAGCTGACATCGATCTTTCACCAAAAAAAAAGAGATTAGACCAACTTTAACACACAATTATTATACTTCCAATTTTAAGCCATAATAATTAGACTATTTAGTTTTTGTTGTATTATGTCCTCTTCAATTTCTTCCTGTATTTAAAATTGGCAAAAACGGAAAAAACAAACATGTCTACATACCACACAATAGTCTATTGAATCATGAAACACAATGGGATAATTAAACACGCTAAAAAAGAGAATATACCATTAAAAAGGTTTTGTATCTTATATTAGCTTTATAATTATAACTAAAAATATGTACATCTTTGAATCTAATTAAATCATAATCAATCCCCCATAATTCCTCTACCCCTTCTCTTCAAAAACATTTAATCACCAAAGGAAAATTACAAAAAAGAAAAAAAATAAATTATTTACATCCTAGGAAAAAAATTACTATGTTTAGTAACCAAGTACTATACCTCAAGCTCTTTAATACTTCCATCTACAATATTACCACTACCACCATGATTATTAATATTGTTATTAACACCATTAATTGCAACTCCATCATTTCCATTTTCACCACCATTTTTGCACTTTGGTCCCTCAACAATTCCAAATTTGCTTAGAAGCATCACACTCCAATCCCAAAGATGTAGCACAATATAAGTCCCAATTCCTCCAATTAAACCATATGCTATAGAATATGTAAAAGGGGTCAAAATTAATGTTACAAAAGCTGGAATTGCTTCCCTCATATCATCCCAATTAATATCAACCACCGATTTCATCATCAATACACCCACCAAGATCAACGGCGGTCCGACCGCCCAAGCAGGAATAGACGCTAATAACGGCGTTATAAACAGTGCTAGGAAGAAATAACTTCCTGCTGTTAACGCCGTTAAACCGGTCCTCCCGCCTTCACGTATCCCTGTAGACGACTCGATAAAAGTCGTCACGGGAGACGTACCTAAGAGTGACCCCACAACAATTGAAACAGCGTCACTCATAAACGCAAAATATTGTCCTTCAAACTCCCCGTTTTCGTCCACGAAACCTGCGAAACGTGCCATTGAATATAGAGTTGCCGTGGTATCCAAAATATCGACGTATAAGAAAGTAATTAGTGCTACCCAAAAGGGCCCTTTGGTAATTCCACTTAAACTAAGCGCACCGGCCGTATTTTTAATTGTGTGGATGTCAACTACCTTCTTAAAGTACTCGAACGCGGCGTTACCGGCTTCCGTGTGAGGAAACGCAGTGACGCTCGTGTTTCGAAACCACGAAACGGCTGTGACAAAAACAATACCGTAAATCATTGCCCCTTTAATTTTTTTAACCCAACAATATGCAATTATAACAAACCCAATTATACCCAACCATAATGTGGGGCTCTCCATACGATGATTCAGGCAGTAAATGTCGTCGGAGATGCTGCCGCCGGGAAGTACAACGGTGCCATTTAATGAATTTATCACCGGAGCAACTGAAATTCGTGATGAAGCTGGACAACCACCTAGTGTTAACAGAGTTGATCCGCTGTAACTGATTAACCCAATTCCTTGGCTGTTTTGTAGTCCGATGAAGGCTAAGAATAAGCCGATACCGGCTGAAGACGAGATTCGAACCGGTTTCGGAACTAATTTAGCAAACCGCGCTCGCAAACCAACCGCGGATATCGCTAAAAATATTAATCCCTCTACGAAAACTGCCGTGAGGGCAGTTTTGTAAGGGATGTTCCCAGACCCGTGGAAGCCTACCACAGTGTAGGTAAAATACGCATTGGTCCCCATCCCGGGGGCCAACGCAAGTGGTAAATTGGCAAAAATGCCCATTACAAAACACCCGATAAGGGACGACGCTACTGTGGCGACAATTAGGTCTTTCCTGATCCTCGCCAAGCAAGCGTCGTACCCCGGGTTCACCGGGTCAAACTTGCACGTGTCATCCGGTATGATGACACGTCGAGTAGGACCCGAACAATTAGAGACGGATAGAGTAGGGTCGGAACATAGTGGTATACAATCAGAAACCGAACACGTCCCGCCTGAGTCAGCTAAAATGGAGGCGTTTACGGCTAATATATAAGCCATCGTAAGGAACGTGGCGGTACCGGCACGAAGCTCGGTAGTGAAAGTGGTACGACGTTCGGTAAGCTTAAATCGCTTACCGACTCGGCTGCGCGCCACGAAGGCGTTCAGCCGAGTGATTTTGGAAGGTTTAGGAGAAGGGGAAAGGACTTGGGAGTCCATGATCATGAAAAGTGGAATGAGAAAAAAAAAAAAAAAGGGGTGAAGAAGAAGTGAGGAGAAGAAGGCGGGTGGAGAGAGAGTAATAAATGAGTAATGAGTGAGAAAGAGAATAGGGAGAATATGGGATTCCGTTGTTTAATAAGGATTTTTTTGATTAGGGAGAAAGTATCTCCAATTTTGTTTCATAATTTTATCAACTCTTTGAAAAAAAAATTTGATTGATTTTTAATTTTTAAAAATATAATAAAAATAGCAATAAAAAATGGGGGATGGGTTAATCGTTGATTAGCTAATTTAGCTTTGTGTCCTATATAAAACCACGTCTAGAGTCTCTAGACTAGTTTAATTTACAGGTGCTTACTCTCAAATAATGGGAATAAAAAAATGCAAGTCATTTTTATTGTGATATGGGGTAATAAATTAATAATTGTTGTTATTTAATTATGCCTACAATTATACCATCTTTGACTTGGAATGCAAGTGAAAAATCGCCTTGGATACTTTATATTAAAATTGTAAAATAACTTATTATTTTTCTGTTTTTTTTTTTTTTTTTTTTTTTTTTTTTTTTTTTTTTTTTTTTTATCAATGATGTAAATTGACATTTTTAATAATGCATGCATTCGACTGACCTTTTTTTTGTATTTTAGGTCAAAAAAATTAGCTTGGACAACTCTCTATTGGATTGTACCAAACGTAGTAAGCAATTAGTTTCACACTAATATGGAGTATATGTAAAATGACATTTAATATTGCACTCAATTGACTTGTATTTTAGGTCAAAAGAAATTAACTTGGACAACTCTATCTTGGACTATACCAAGGGACTAAGAAATTAGGTTCACACTAATGTATGTGATTAAAGTAGGAAATACTATGTATTAGCTAAGCCTAAATGCAAGGTAAAAAACACATTATATTTGCACAAAGTATTCATTACCAAATTAATGATCATAATTCAAAACCCCCTTCTCCCTCCATATTTATACGTAACTGAAAGGTTTGGTCGCAACTCTACCTTTTATATTCGACCTTTAGCTTTTGTTTGTGTGTGTGTGTTTTCTATATTTTGCTCTTGCTTGGGTTTAGTACTTTTGTCTGCGTAAGAGTAACAAATCTCATTCGTTAATGAAAGAATATATTTTTTAGATTGTTTTGTTTCCATAACATGCATGGATTATATACAACAATTATTAAATTGAACATAGGCTATAATTTTGAAAGCTTAACATACATGCACCTACCAATTACATAAGATCACTACATAGTTACAAAAGGTTACGAATGTATTTACATATATCCTATGATTTCTTTCAATGAACACTACTACTCTCTAATCCATTTAGCTAATAAACCGTTAAAAAGAAGAGCACACGATTCAGTCTTTAAAAAATGATAGACTAAAAATAGTAAATTAGTAAACGTTTGACTCGCTTTAAAATATAAACAGGTTTATGAAGCCGCGAATATAGCAAGAAAATATAGCTTTCTTTCTTTCTTTCTTTCTTTCTTTCCCATTTTTTTTTTTTTTTTTTTCTTTTCGGAATGGAAGCAAGAAAATACAGTTTATAGTAAAATAAATGTGCTAGCTAGCAGTCAGCCAGTCAAGCTTGATGTAACTTCTTCAATATTTGAATCACGCCAAAAAAAAAGAAGCTTGCTAGACCTAAATTCTAAGTTAAAAATTAATAAAATTGAAGAATCATAAAAGATTTTACCTAACAATTTCAAAAAATAGACGTTATAACATGCATTTTCACTTTTGACAATAACTCAGTTGACCTTTTGGGCATTTTTGCACCAAATCTTTATTCAATATTTATCTAATTTTGTAGCTTAGTGCAATATAAAAACTACAAAATATGGTTTATTATATCAAAGGATTGAATTTTAAAATGCAAAGTGATCGAAAGAATATCGGATGATCTAACTCATCTAAGCTAGCTTGCGTGATTATCTATTTGTTCGTAGTTTGGTTGGCATATATTTATTTGATAATATTTCTATAGAGACCTATTTGTTCATTAACTTATAATATTTTGATTTGTTTTTTGTCCGTCACTCTATATATTGTGAATCAGTAAACAATACATGTACGGTTTTTGATAAACGGGCCTAGGCCATACCCGTTACAAGTGTCCACTATACAAGTCCAAGGAGGTTCCACCTCAAAACCATATGGCAATGAAGGGAGTAGCCCCTTAGCCTTATAAAGTGGACACAACTTTCTTGTTTCTTTAATGTGAGATACACTTCCCAACACTTTCATACTCTTTTGATATGAGACAACACTTTCACTCACATGTGGGTTTTCACATGAAATTAACGTGAATTAGTTATAACAGTTTGTACATAACAACCCGAGTTTTGATCAAAATTATTCGATCATGCATTGTTTGTTCTTCAATATAATAAGAATAGTAAGTACAGATTATACTATATTAGGACATCTTAAGCTAAACAAAATGATAATTATTAATTAGCAAAATTTCATTGCGTGAAGAGATCCACTTCGTTAAATTAAGTACTATATAATGATGCATAAACAAAACAAACGCACATTTACAAAAGAGGAAGGGTCCACAAATATAAACAACGCCAACCTACAATATTTTGCTTTCACACTGATTATTAGCAGCCAAATTAAAGTGTATTCATGTCTAACAAAGACGTGCTCATACGCAAGTAATAATGATGTGCATTACGTTGCATTAATATTATGTAGTCAAATATAGAAGCTATATATTATTATTTTTAGCAACTTGGTATTGTCTAATTACATCTTAGCACAACCAAAATTAATATTTTCTATAATTAAAAAATTATTAATAAGTTGAATAAAGAATGTATGTTTTAAAGGGTGCAAGTTGATTTATACTCTATTACCTTAGCTTTGAGCCTAAAGTGCTTCAAGTGCTTGTATCATCATAATGATTTATTGACACAAACTTTTGGTAAGATATGTTATTTTACATGATAAAGAGCAGTAATTATGATCTAATTTAGAAAGATTTACATGTCTCATGTTGCTAGGCATGTTGAATATAAGAAAGTATGATTGTGTTAATATACAAAGAACCGAGATTTTGCCTTTAGTTTATTTGATAATATGAGTAGATCAAAATTCGCTATCTTGCAATTGTTTGGGCCCTAGCAACTAATAACCGAAATTATTAATACATCACTAGATAATTGGTCTTCGATTCTATTTATATTTTGTTAACCTTATTTTCACATACTTTAGAATATATAAGTTCATATTAAAATAAGTCAAATTAAACAAACATACATAAGTCCAAAATCCAGCTGATATATTCTCTAATAAGTTTAGATACATAAAAACCAGGTAACACAACAAAATCTTTAACAAGGGCAAGATAAGCGGGCAAGCATACACAAACAAATTCATTGTACACGAGTTCAACAATGCATAGAGCAAAGAAATTGTTATCATTCAAGTAGACAAATATGAAAAGGATTAAGAAAGGGGTGAAATGATTAGTATGGTAAACGAATTAAGGTGAGTTTGAACTTTAAGGTCATATCCACTACCAATATAAACATAGATGATGCCTTTGTTCCATATTTTGATGTCTAAATTGGCCTAACATCTACCTAACCCCCAAAAAAGTTGACAACACCAATAACTACTACACATCCATCCCCATATATATGCTATGAAGCATTATTATTCATTAATTCGTGGTCCTTTCTTATGTCCCCGTACATATAATGCCTCATTTTTTGAATGTTTTTGGTGATTATCTTTACCACAATATTGCTCTTTTATAGGCAGTGACGGACCTACACTTTAACATAAATGACCTTTAATAAAAACATAAATAAAAAAAAAGTCATTTTTTATTTTTCTCTGCATTGAACATTTGAACCTCTTGATTTTGTTTTGTTATAATGACATAATGGATTAATGGATATAAATTTTAATTGGGCTTAACTTGTCTATAATTGACAACTTTTGGGTAATAGTACAGTTTGATTTGTAATAAGATACGTGGATGTAATTAACCTAGGAAAAAATTAATGAATAATCCATCTAGTATTCTCATGAACAAAATTAGCCCTGAAGTCTTAAGACTTAAAATGATATCACTTTTTAATAGGTCCCATTAAAAATGATATCATTGTATTAGCTAAAACTCTTTTAATACTCACTTATATTTAGTCCTTTAGCCCTATACCCACTTAAGATTTCTCATACCATATATTATTATATTTTTTTTTTTTTATTTTTTTTTTTACTCTTAGTAATAATTAAAAAAAAAAATAGGGCCCATACTCAAGTTTTAAGTCGAGTCTTGAATTTTCAAGACTCAACTTGAAACTTAGCTAAGATTTCTCAAGAAAAATAAGATCAAACAAAAAGTCTTGTCTTAACACCCAAAATAATGATGTCATGTGGAGTTTTAAGAATCAGGGCTAATCTTGAGCTCCTCTTCTATCTCCTTGGGGATTTTTTTTCCCTCAACCTCAATGAAATTCCCACCAACTCAACCCCTAATGAAACAAATATATATAGAGGGTAGACCTCACTTTAGGACTTGAAGGCACATTGGCCACTTAGACTATATTTAGGTGGTGGTGGTGCTCGAAAATACAATGTTAGGTGACTACTATGTCCCAATATTTCTCGGGCCAATAACTCATGTCAAAATTGCACTGTTTAATATAATCTTATACAGTAAAACCTAATCACCTATACACCTTAGCTTGGAAATTTAATTTTTTCCTAACATAGCAACGGTAATTAATCTTAATTCTTTGATTGGTATGTATATATACTTTGTACTTTTTAGCACAAGGACAGTAAAACCTAATCACCTCACTATATCACGATATGTACGTACGGAGTACTTAATATAATTATATAGACCTCAAATAAGAACACGTTTCTTCTTACTCTCAATTTTTTTTTCCGATTTCTTCCTACAAATTATATTTTGACTCTTTGAGACCAATTGTATATAATTTCCTTTAAAGTTGTTGATTTATTTACGTTTTCGCCATTTGATAAACATATTTTGTTTATCAAGGAGATAAACTTGTATTTTTTCGTTTCCTTTTCCCTCATGACCTTGGTTTCACATTTATTGCACGTGCTACAATGGAAAAGAACGAAAACTCTAAGTGCATTCTTCAAACCTATTAGAAATTCAGTCTCACACTCCCATGTAAATTTATCGTAATATAGTAATTAGAGCTCTAGTTAGAAGGTGTTAAAAATGAGAATGTGAGAAAGATACATATTTAACCTTTTCCAATTAAGTGCTTTTTTTCTTTAGAATTTTTTCTAGGACAAAAGTGTTAGCTTGTTCTAATTCTCTTCTTTAGTACCAGTTTTATCTGATCCTAAATCATACGAAGTA